CTTCTTCATTCACTTTTATTCGAAATGAAGGTCCCCCTAACATGATACTTTGCTCTAATGATGTTCGTCAAGCGACTGAGGAAAGCTTAGCACCTTTTCACCAAAATCGAAGGAGATTGCCTCGGAAACAGCGTCAGCATGAATGTTCCAGTAAAGCCAATCGACAGCTGGTGTTCTGGCGGAATCGAACTTTGAATCTGTTCACCGCACACTTTCACTCGAAATGGAAGTAAGCTCAACAATTATGAAACAAAAGAGTCCTCGAAACCCAACTTTTCTTCGCATTAATCAAAGTGGATTGACCTCGTTCTCGTAACTTGGTCGTTTTGTCAGACCGACTTTATTGAACGCACCCTGTCTGAAATCCTCTGTCGGACTCGTCTAGGAGACAAGTGAAGTCAATCGCTCAACAAAGGATTTGCCGCAAACGGTTACACTATAACTCTTCTTTCTGTCATGGTCTATCTATCTACTCTTTGCCCTCTTATCCCACTGCCGCCACATCACAACTTCTCACTTGTTTACATGAGAATGTACCAAGCCCTCGGTGTGATGCTGGGAGTTGTGATAACTATTATGACAGAGGACTTCGGACAAGGTGCATTCAACTTAGTCGTTATGACAACTAGACCAAGTTGCATAATCGAAGTCCACCCACCCCACTGCCACCGTACGGAAGTCAACACCATATTAGTCTTCATATCGTTGACTTGACCATTTAATTTCGCCACATAAACCCTCCCAGCCTTTTATCTGAGCTTTGGTCAACTTAACAATTAATCATCCTCTCAACGTTTCTGGGATTATTCCTCATCTTGCACTAATTTAGGTAGGCTTAAGCTTTCTAATTTACGGATTTTGCTACTCGAGCCATGAATGTTGCACACTCAACAGAAACACAATAACAGTTAAGACAGTAGTCAAATATGTTAACAAACAAGACAATTATTCACTTTTTGCATGTTTACATCGATAAAAGCAAGCTCTTTTATTTTTCTCTAGATGAAATTAGTCCATTAATCATTTCTTTTGGGGCATTCCTATTGAATGAAATGAATCAATTTACTACCTCGTATAACTAAGTTAAAAATCAGTAAAAATAAAACATGTTTCATTTTATATAAATAGTATACATTTATAAAACTCATAAATTTAGGATTAGGTAACCCCCCCCCCTATTTGATTTTGGGTAGATATCATCACTTATAAAAAAAGCCAAAAACCTCGGTTTTTGTGTATACATAATTATATATAAATAATAGGAAGTAGATAAGATAGACGATTTGATGTCGTAACAGCCATTCTTCAATGCTAGTGACTACCAAATGATTTCAAAATGCTTCTTTTCTACTTATTCTGCCGTCTTCAGATTGACAGTATTTACGAGCCATTATAAGGTTGTTCAAGTGCCTATTTTTAGGGTGACTACATTTTAGCATAAAAATCTCTTCTTTTTTCCTGATTGCTTTTTAGATGCAGTCATCGCATGCAGTGGCTTCTACTCATCCGTGTTCTACCTGTCGGCTGCCTGCTTTCTCCTAGCAGCTTTACTGATCAACTCCTGTGCCCTGTCGACGGGATGTTCGAGAGACTCAACAACTGAAGACCCACTCTACCGAAAGAAGGAGAAAGTGGACACGGTCAAAATTTCCTTCAGCCCTCCTTGGCGAAAGTCACCAAAATCTACGATTCACGAAGGACAGACACGAATGGGGCAGCCTTCAGACACATGACTGGGGCGCTGATGAATGGTCGGTCCAAGGGTGAACATGATGACTACAAGTTGACATGTTTTATTCTTGATGCTTTTTTGTCTACAATTATTGATCCGGCATACCACCATTTGCATATATTAATTCGCACAAATAATTGTTGTTATTAACATTTATTTTCCTTAATTTATCATTATCTGCTCATTTTGCCCATTTGTTGTTTCATAATGAATTAAAGGTATACTTCATTACAACCCTTCTACCATAGCTTGTAGGCTTAAATGGAAATTTGGGTACCCTAATTTCTTAAATTCACGGCTATCGTTTGATTCATTTTGTCTTTTTCAACATAATATCGCTCAAATATCTTATTACGACCAATAACGCCTTTCGAATG